ATATTATATAAATTTTTTCCCTTGTTTGTCTCTTTAAAGTTTCTTTGCTTAATGTGTATTGCTACGCTATTTTATTGCTGTAAAATGCTACAGACATAGCCTTGACTCATGTGTGTCTCTCTCATCCGGCTCCAGTCCTAATGTGTGGTGCTAAATGTTAATTGCATTATATAAGTCACTTTGGAATATAAGTCTCAGCATGCTTCAGGTGATTAAAGCAAAGTTATTTTTTTGTACTTTTTTTTTTTTTTTTACAGAAAAAAACAAGCTGGTTGAAAATTTGCAGTGTTATCATTTAAATGTAATGTTATATTTTATTATGTTTTTAGAGGACGTCAATAGGTTGATTTTATGTGACATCGTTAGTGACGCTGAAAATTTAGATGGAGGGTCAGAAAGTGATTCTTCTACACAGGAATAGCCAACATCAAAATGTTTCTGTTTTGTGTTATTTATAATAGTTTAAATCGGATAAAATAAGAAATGCTAAACCTATTTTAAAGACTTCCTGTTACAGACTGATAAACTGTAATAAACACTGTAAGGTTAGTGTAAACTGTGGTGCATCGTGATGGTGTATAATATAGCGTAGAAGTCTGTTGTATTTGTTTATTACTACAGTTGTTGTCACAATTACCAGCGATCCAGGCTAATAGTTTGCTGGGAATCTTTCCCTTTTATTCAGGACTACAAATCCTGCCATGCACAACACTCACACCTGTTCCAGTTTTCTGCTGATTGCTAACACACACAGCTGAAGCTGTTCAGCTGTTTATCTGTGAGCATTATGATCAGGTTTGTGAGATTAATCAAAATCGAATGCAAAATTGATTTTAAATGTTGCGATTAGCTAATCGCAAGAGGCTGTGATATGAAATATATATTATTTAACTTCCCCCTTCCAGAGCAAATGCTTCTTCGTCTCTCAGAGTCAGGGATAGAATCCATGTCTCTGGCGTGAGAGATGAGTTATAAAACCACTGAGCCACTGAGAGTTGATGAAGTAAGGTAAGGCAAAAACAGAGAGTCTTCCAATAAGCAACAGCAAAGTACAATTTCAGAAATGTTTGCTAATATAAGTTAATATCTTTTATATTCATTTTTTTAAATTAACACTACAATAAGAAGCTACAATACAGATTATTGAGCTGAAGCTTGACTACAAAATTAAATCACAAATCAAAATCGCAATATCTTAAAAAAACGCAATTAGATATTTTCACCAAATCTCACAGCCCTAATTATGATGCATTTTTCCTTACCGTGTTTTAATCCTAATCTTTGTCTGTTTGTTTTGATTCATTGCTGCTTGCACCGACTATTTGCCTGTTCTTTGACAACGACATTGGATTGCTCTGCATGAACCTGTTTCACCCTGTTGACCATTGCCTGCCTGACTATTCTTGTAATAACTGCATGTGGACCCTCAACGCCGTTGTCCAGCATCCTTCACATAACAGTTGTGTCATATCACAGCAACAATATAATTAGTACGAGAGTTTAATTCAAATAATTATCTATTGTATGCTTCCAAATACTATAGTATTTACTATATTATTTTTTTCATGTACCGTAATAGCTTTTACAGTGCCTACCGCCTTGATGACAGGCAATGTATATTTTAGTTCAGTAGAAACTCGACCCTCCTCACAATTTAAGGATTATGCCCAACATATGTGGTTATTTTCTAATTATATCTCCTTTGAAAAAATGATATAAATGGCAAAGATACTGACTTTCCTCTGTGTTGCATTCATTTTTTTTTTTACATCCTGCCATCTCCATCTAAATGTCGCGCATCACCAGAACCAAGACATTGCAAACATCCTATATATATATATATATATATACACACACATACACACATACACACACACACACACACACACACACAAACACACACACACACACACACACACACACACACACACACACACACACACACACACACACACACACACAACAGTTCTGTCTACTTCTTGAATCTGATTGGCTGATATCTGTGCAATCTTCTGCAAATAACGACTCTCGACCAGCCTATTAACCCTTCACCCTTGTGTATTACTTTGCCCACATACAGCAACCTCACAGGACACTTTACAGTTTGACAAATATTGCTGCTGTTGGACAACAATGTACTTTTGAGGCTTTTTTAGTCAAGAATTCAGTGGTTTAGATTGCAGCTATGCAGTTTATTTATAAGGATTGTTTTAAATATTTACAATTTCTGAGAGACAGTGTGTCGGCAGCCATTATCCTGTCATTGAGCAGACCAAAGACTGTTGATGTTAAAGACGACAGAGACCGCATGATAAGCCCTTAGAAGTTAAAACAAAGTAATTTCTGGCTACAGCTGATCAAATCATTATTAAACAGTTAAGTGATGTTCTAATTTTCTCTCTTTTGTATGTTGTAGTGCTGTATTTATAACATGGCAATTGTATTGTGTCGACTGTTAAATGGGACTTACATATTAGAAATGTGTGTATTTTGTGTTGGCCACTCTTTGTATAATCCTAAGTTACTTTTTAGTTGGCCATCTGTCTGTTTCTCATGCATCTCCTGTTTTCGCTACTGCAGACCAGTTCAGTAAACAGAAAGAATAAATAAATGCCCACATGTGTTTAACGGTTTTCCTTATCACAAACACAATAGTAATCTGGTAGTGATTGCATTGCTTTGGCTTTTTCAGTGTTAATTATTATGATATCCTGATTGCAACAAAGAAATACTGGGAGATCTCTGTAGACTGATGGCATTTCATGCCGTTCAGCCTTATAATCTTATAAATGTCTTCTAAATGTCAGCAAAATGCCCTGTTTTGTCAGTACGCTGAAGAATCATTAAAAATACTAGCTTTAAAGTGATGTTTGCGACGTAGCAACGGTTTCTGCTGTTCTGGCTGTCAGCTGCAGATGTGAATGAATGGTGGAGGAAAGTAGTTCCTCTTACAAAAGGATTTTGAGACTCGCCGTGTTTGATTTTCTCTTTTATATACAAGATTATGCCATCAAACTGTTGTATAAATGTAAAAGCACACTCGATGCAGTGCGATGTAGCTGTAGCGATGTAGCTGTATAGCATCACTGGTGGCACACTAAAGCTCTCGGCTAACGCACGTCTACTTATATATATATATATATATATATATATATATATATATATATATATATATATATATATATATATATATATATATATATATATATTTTTTTTTTTTTTTTTTTTTGCCATTTTGACTTTTTGTAATATACACTAAATGATGGTTGAAACTGGTTGCCATTTGATATCAGCTTCTGAAGCAAAATCCTCATCCTCAAATCCTAATCCTTGCTGATCCTTCTGTGATCTTTTTTCCCATCCAATAACATCTTTTGAGTCAAATATTTCCATATGTGCATACGATTGTCACATTTCACACTCCTTCAACATTCCTTCTATCGTTTCCTAAATAAACGGCCCATGTTCCTGGCAACCTATCAGCCTCGACCCCCTCCCCACTTTCTCACTGATGTTTTCAGTGAGATTGATTCTGTGCTTCTGCCCGTTTAATGTCATTTAAGTGTTTCTGTGGGTGCTTTTCTCCCTCTGCCAAAAGCCCGCCTCAGAACCTGATGAGGTATCAACAATAATATAAAAAAAGAGAAAGGAGCAATTTCCTGCAGTAACCATAGTGAACGCTTTGCTGCATGATTCGGGTGCTTGCTTTAGCCCTATGGGGGTTGCGTTCTCCATTCTAATGATTAAAGCAGAAACACAAGCCTGCCAGGCTTTTCACAATATTACATGTGTAAGTTCAAAGTGTGGCCAGCACTGGAGCAGATCTCTTCGTCTAATAGCACTTGCATATTGAAACATATAAAATATATATATTTTTCATTGAAAGTTAGGATTGGGTTGAAGAAAAAAGAAAAAAAAGATAAAATTGCCCATGAATCACATTTTTCCGAGTGCCAGAAGCCTCTTTCCGGTGCGGTGCGCTTTCAGTTGGCTCTAATTAATTGAGGAATGTATGGCGCTGTTGGATCCAGCACAAAGTGAAATCAGCAGCCCTTTCGCCCCATGGCAAATGCAGTTCAAACACTAGAAATGTTTCATGAAAACAGGATATAAAAGACAAGTGTTGGAGATGAGAGGGAGGAGGAGAGATACATGATGGAGTGAATGAGGAAGTTAAACGAGGAGGCGCAGACGGTATGTGCAAACCCCTCAAAAAAATTGCTCGCTAAAAGGTTGACCAAGCCGGAGGAAAAGATGGAGTGGAGTAAATTGAAAAAGAAATGGTCCATAAAGGTGAAGAGATGAAGCTTGTAGAGATTTAGTGGAGAGGCTTGAAGATTTCACTCCAGCTAACAGGCCCAAGGGAGGAGGGGGGTTTGGTTTAGCTTTTTTTGTCGTGGGCTTTTATTGTGAAGGTTGTGTTAATTGAGTGAACTCTTCTCTGAATTAGTCCAGTTTACAAGGTGTTATAGTTTATTATGATTGGTGAGTATTTAATGCTTCAGAAACCAAATTTGCTTTTCACATTTATCATTATTAGGCTTAAGGCTGCTAAGCTATAAATCAAACCGAATACAGCCGATAATAGAAGATAAATCTGAAAGGCTAATCTTGTTATGGAATTTGTTTAAAAAGCTTTAGGTACAGTACATGTAAATAAACTAAATATGAAACGGTATGGAGCCGGATGGCTACACTCAGAGCAAACACCATGGCCAGTAAAATCACTAATATTCTTTTGAAGTAATATTATTACACTATAAAGTAACTGTTTTCTTTTGGAGTTTGTAAAATGTAATATGAAGCTGAATCTTTAGTCTTCATGTGATACTTTAAAAATCATTGTAAATCAGCTAATATGATTGGTGCTCAAATAGTGTTAAAATAGTATTAAATCCAGTTCCTGGAGGGCCACGGCTCTGCACAGTTTAGTTCCGACCCTACTTTAACACACCTGTAGGTTTCAAACAAAACTGAAGTACTCAATTATTTTGATCAGGTGTGTTAAATAAGGGTTGGGACTAAAATGTGCAGAGCTGCATCCTTTAAGGATCTTAATTGGACACTTGTGATCAAGATCATGAGTTTCAGGTGTTTGTGTGTGATGAGGGCAAGGGATTGTGGGATGTGTAGTCAGGCTGATTTAAAAAAAAAAAAAAAAAACAATTTTCAGGATTTTTTGATGTAGATAAAGTAATTATATTGTTTTTATTTTATGTTAACTCTACAAACTCTAAAGTCTACAGTGGAAACTAGGAATGTAATGATTCACCTGACGCACGATTCAGTATGATTTACGATACCTATCTGGATTCATGATTTAGTCATGATTAAAAATAGAGAGTAAAAATAGATTAATACCTGGTTCTATAACAGAACAACTTTCTCTTTCAGTCAGAAAACATCTTCATATTTTTCACTCATGCATCGTGTAATCTCTGTATTTTAGTTTTTTTTCTGCGTATAGATGTTTGTGACAGAAGTTTTTCACTGTGCTGCCGGTTTATGTGCATCATATTTGCTTTTCTGTTAGTGTATGTAAATGTCTGGCGCACTTTACAGCTGTCATTTTATTCTGCTGTCCTACTTCTTGTTTGCCACTGATGTGCAGATAAAGCGAGATTGCGCCTGTAAACACAGCGCCCACTTTGGTTAAAACATGTATCGCGATTCATTCAACATTTCAACCGGATTGAATTGTCACATATTTAAATGGATTTTCAACGGACTCGCTGTGAATCATTACATCCCTAGTGGAAACACATTTACTGAATAAATGTCAGCATGCACACCAAAAACAGATCATGTGATAAAAATGGGTGCGATGTTACACCATTATTGGACAAACCGGCGGAAAGACCAAGAATAAATTATCTGAAATGTTGTTTTGGTCATTCTAAAATATTTTGTTGGTCAAAGTCTGTCATCAAAATGGTACAGTATAATTACATTTTAGTAATTACTTTCTTCTAATGCCACCGTGCATTCATTGGTTTTTGTCTTTGTCTTCTGAGGCACAAGTCTTTTATTATATAAGAAAAAAGCCCACAGAGGCTCCTCCTGCCACAGCAAATTCTATTTTATTTTTTATATTTGCTTACCAGAAAGTTATGATTTTGTTTGCTTTGACTTGAAGGGAAACATGCTTTATTCACGAATGTTTTATGATATGCCAGTTTTCCACATTAATCCAATTAGATTAGGATGAAAACTGATAGTTTTTGGATGTTTTTTTAAAGGTAAACAGTTTTTTAAGAGTGTGTTTTAATTTTGTGTGTTTTGTATGTTCTTCTCTGCTGATGAATGTTGGCCTTAACTCTTGCTTCCTCACGTGGTTCGAGCGCATCAGTATAATGGTGATCCTGCTGAACTGCGTCACTCTGGGGATGTACCAGCCTTGCGAGAACATCGACTGCACTTCAGAGCGCTGTCAGGTCCTACAGGTCAGTGTGGACAAACACACACACACACACACACACACACACACACACACACACACACACACACACACACACACACACACACACTAACACACACACTAACACACACACAAAACAAATGAGCTCTGCTCCAAAAACTATTGCACAAACTACACAAACTAAGGCAGCGCTCTATATTTCCTTGACCAAATAGCATATAATATTGTGTCTTTTGTTGCCTTAAATGGCTTTTTATATATATATATATATATATATATATATATATATATATATATATATATAAATAATAGTTTAGCTGCATTTACCCTAATTTATGCCTTAAAATTCAACATGAAGAACTGTGATAATGCCATGAATTATGATACTGCCTAAAAAAAAGTGATATATTCATGCCATATTCCCCACCCTAGAATGCCATTAAGCAGCTTCTCGTCACACACGGGTTCTTGATTGATTTCAGAAGACCTTAGTCAGGGTGGCACTGTATTTAATTTTTTGACAGTAATAATGATGGAACTATGAGGGATTGCAGTACAGTGTGTTCAGTGAATAGTTCTGTTGTTAGCCGTGCATTAGGATTGAACTCAGATGATCTCTTTTACAGTTTTCCCTGGCCAAGAAGAAGTCTGACTAACATATAAAGCAACCAGTCGATCTTCCTACCACAGACTTGTGTGTTTGTTATCATTTAGAGTTTCCCATTTTGTGTGCCTTATGCATGAGACTTCTAGCCAGCGGTCCATGGAAGGCTGATACTTTTTATGACAAATTGCTCTACTGGGAAAATGGTGCAGGAAAAACTTTATAAAAGAGTTTAGAAAAGAGCAAGTTAAAAAAAATTAATTATGTAGAACTTTTATTCACTGCACAAAGTCTCACACCTTCATTTCATCTGTGTTAAATTGGCATCAACTATATTGTAATATCTACATAGATTATTTTTAGCACATAAAAAATAGCCAGAGACTAGCCAGAGAGTATGATAAGCATATTATCATACTTAATAAATTATATTTTTTATTATTAAAATGCAACTATCTTGCTCAGAGATTTTTATTTTTAAACATGTTTCTAAACACTTTTTTGGCAAAAAACAAAAAAAAAAACAAAAAAAAAAAAAACAGTACATTTAGAGGTAAATGGCCTACATAAGCTTCCTTTATATGCCCATAAATGTTAGATAGTAGTACCCCATGGGTACATACAGTATTACTAATACTTCAGTATGCATCTTTCAAAAACATTTTGTCCCTTTTCAGAGTAAAATGGCTCTTTTTAGAAAGTGTACATGCGATACTAGCTTTTGGTTTAGACTAAACTGAAATACTATAAATATGCTTAATCAGCAGGCACACAACATTATAAGATTTAATATTAGGTTAAATTTAGGTCATGACATCAGATGACCAAAATTCAATGTCTGGCCAGCGACTAAGGGACAACGTTACTTTGACGCCCAATAATGACGTCAAATTATATTGATATTTGGTTGATTTTAGGTTGTATTGGAAAGTGACCAAAATCCAACGTCTGATAGATGTCATAGTGGTAACGTCCAAAAAACGTCAAGGTGTAACATGATTAGATGTTGATTTTTTGTTGATTTTAGGTTGATTTTTAGGTTGGACATTGGATATTGGTGTCGGCCTGACGTAGCACAAAGTTGGGGTACGTTGGGATACAACGTCAATATGTTGGCGTCTCGTGCCTGCAGGTTAACTATAAATGCTGTATGGTTAAAGTAATGTACCTTTTGCATAGCCTTTACATCTCTAGCATGCTTATGATGTCTTTCTCCACCAGTGTTTTTTTTTTTAAAGCAGTTAGCTTTTCCGAATTGGTTTGTGTGACATTTGTGAACACTGGGTTAATAAATCTAGACAGCGTTCAGAAAAATATTCATAAATGTGGACAGACCTCAAAATCACCTTGCTACAACCATCCCAGATGATTCTGTTCAACAATAGGAGTGTAAAAAATCATCCCATATTAATGTGTTGTAGGTAAAAGTGGCCCGCAATGGCTGTTTTATTTATAAGCAACAGGGAGAATTTATATTGCATAGATTGGTGAAGACCATGAAAAGATCTAGAGAGAAAAAAACTATACTGCTATTATAACATTAAATGACAAAATTTTTACTGATATCTTTCTTTCCAACAACAGTGGTCCCTCGTTATTTGCGGGAATTATGTCCTAAAAATAACCCGCAATAGGCAAAAAACACAAAATATTCAGCTTTATTTTTCACAATTATTATAGACGTTTTAAGGCTGTAAAACCTCTCACTACACACTTTAGACACTTTTCTCAGACAGGCATTAACATTTTCACACTTTTCTCTCTTGTTTAAACACACTCAAAGTTTAACCTTTGTAAAAAATAAGTCCAGCATTACTGAATGGAAAACCTTTTGATCTTCATTTATTCCTTCCGTAATGGTGCCCTACAACCGTATAACTTATACCTTCCTTTAACATGTCCAGAAGTTCAACTTTTTGTGCAACTTTTCATCCTCCTCTGCCTTTTGAGTGCTACCACAGGTGCTTTTAACAGTGCAGAACGTTTCATCAACATTGTAGGGAAAACTTGCAAAGATACAGTACAGCACTTCAGTTACACATCTAGTGATCAAAGATTTATGTAAATCTGGCAAGCTGAATGCATTCTGTACTGTACAGGAGACACAGCACAGTGGATATTGATTGACAATGGTCTACAGCCAATCAGGACGCAGAACACAATGATCTAAACAGGGCGCAGAACAATGTGCTGTAGAAAATAAGCATGTCAAATTGCACAAAAAAAATCTGCAAGTGATTCGCGATATAGCGAGGGACCACTGTATAGCTCATAACTGCAAAACATATCATAAAATTGTTCGAATATTTAATTAATTCCATGCGTGTTCAATAAAAAAGGTCAGAAGAGGTTTTTCTTCAAGCATATTAGCAATTCATTGTATACAAATGAATATTTCGATTCACAGAATTTTGTTATCCTCAATGCAATGCAAGAGTTATATTCAGGAGGTGCTGTTAATTTAATTTCCAGATTAGTGCTTTTGTAGCTAGCTGATATTAACAGGTGGAGTTTAGTGGAATTTGTTAATTGTCAATCATTCTCCAATCCTCCATTAGCCACATCCTTACATAAGTCATCTTTTTCTACTAATTCTGTGCACAACGTCAAAAAGCACAAGACTTCTCATTTACAAATTCTGTGCTCACTGGAAGTTTTGCTTCAGAGCTCAAGTAAATTTTAGACAAGCTTCATCTACTTTTGCAAAAATGCTTCATTAGTATGCAAAACATATCACACTCAAGACGTTTGGTTAATATATCACCTTTAAGCAATACAGATACAATTGTTTAATGAAAAGAAAAAGAGACAAAAAATTATATATTCCTTTTCACAAGAAACTCATCATGTGATTGTAATGATCGTAAACTAGTTTTCTGAAGTCCTATGATTTGGAAAAGTGCTACTAAACAGAACTGGCAAATCAAAATTTCTTCATTGTGTGCTCTAGAGAGAAAAGTAGTGAGCTATATAGGTGAAACCACCATTTGAGAGTGAGTAAACAATGGCACAGTTTTTGAGAGAGCTAATCATTAAATGGAGCGTGCAGTCATTTTTAAGCTGTGCCATGAAAGCTGAAATGGAACAGTGCCATCGGCGATGATTTTTCTAACACACAGCGATCATGTACGTTTTTATGTGCGGTCCCTGAACAGACTCCTTGGACCCAGCCGTCACATCCAAGCAAGCTAATGAACACAGCGGGACTCCTGGGACAGTGGATACATGGAGGGTTTAGAGGACACATGAAAATGTCCCTAAAGCTTCCAAAAGATGACATAAGCAATTAAAGGCCGTCCTCTGTCAACACAATCCCCCGAGTTCTGTTCGCTTCGTCAACCTCTTAGAGTGAGAGAAAGAGAAAGCCTCATTAACCACACAGAGTCGAGTGGGATGATGATAGGAAATGGACGGAAAGAAAGGAGCAAGACTGTCTTGAGAAACGATGGGGATGAAATCTGTCTCCAAACTTTAAATTCTTTTCAAAATAGCATTTTCATGTTCATGGGCATGGAGTTGATTGAGAAAAAAATACATTGTTTGTTTTAAAACCTACGCTGTCTATTAAGGTAGCATGTTAACCTTTTCAACGCCACTGATGATTTATTTGGTCAATAAACTACGGTTCCCTGCCAAATATGAGTTATACGGCAAACCATGTTTAAGTTGTATGAAAGTAAGGGCCCTAGTGTATGTCCAGAATGAGTTCTGGGCCTTCCTGAGTGTAAAATACAAAAATGATCAGAAAAAGAATACATCAGATTGCATGTAAAAATCAAGTAGGTATACAGATGAACAGGAACTTTTCCGATGTCTCAAATTTCCCAGGACAGTCCCTTATTTCGGCACTACCGCAAAAACTCTTCAGTCAAAGGTAGGCTAACCAAAAACAAAAAATTTAAAGAGTATTCATCATTGATTAACTCATACATGTAGTAACAGAAGCTGAATAGGCGGAATCATGCTGAATGGACTCATAACAGAAGCGCAGTCTTGGCCGTGTGGCTGTTACAGCTGGACTCAAAAACAGTGCACCCCTGCACAATCCTTCCATTCCACAATGTAACTGAGACAGTGTGCGAGCCAGCACCTAAGCTTTTCACTCATATAGCACACATGCTGCTGATGATGTGACAGTAGAAGTGATTTCATTTCATGTGTTGTTTTCTGATTTTTTGGTCAATTTATTTTTTCTGATGAAATATGTTTCTGATGAAACCCATGCATGTGCATTGAAGAGGACACATGAACACAAGAAAAAAGTTTTTTTATTCACTTTATTTTAACATATATTAAAATCATCATATATTTATTATATATTTAATATATTAAAATCCCATATAAAAATAATCAAAAACGCTGGTAGCGCCTGGGAAGTTTAAAGGTATAGTTTGCCATAAAATAGAAATCCTGTCATTTACACAGTTTTTCCAAACCAGAAAAAACATACTTTTTTTTTTTTTTCTTTTTTTTGCTGTAGAGCACAGATGTCAGACTCAGTTCCTGGAGGACCATAGCTCTGCACAGTTTAGTTCCAACCCCAATTAACTAACTAAATGTTTTAGGCTTGTTTGATATCTACAGGTAAGTATGTGGAAGCAGAGTAAAAGTAGAGTAAAAGTCAAGGGTTTTCTAAACAAAATCTGAAACCACACACTTTAATCAGATGGCTAAATCAATTTATTGGGATATGAACTATGAATTGACTTTTTTTGTTTATTTTTTACATAAATAAATAAAATAAACAATAAAAACAACAAAACACTTGTTTGTTGACGGTCATATATGTGTTCCACATTGCTAAAAGCACTATTAGGAAACATATATTCCAGCGTGTAGACTGAATGTCTGTATTGGCAGTTACAACATGACATCTTTCAGTTTTCATAATTTATTCAAGAGAAAGACTTGGTTCCAACCAATCAGCTTGCTCTATTGTGAATGAGGTGCAACTTATGCACGATATCTTCGAAGACCTGCCTGTTACAATGTACAGAAAGCAGAGAGACGAGAGAAGAATTGTTTGGAGACTGGTTGTCAGTGTTGCATTTATAAATGTGCTGCAGTGAAATGAGGATTTTGTTTTTATTTCTCTGCTATGAGAGCGCAGCTGGACTCGCGTGTGAATTACAGTGAACAAAAATACGATTGTAAGGAACATTTACTTACCCGAGAGTTTTTCGTTCTGAAACTCCTCTTTTCATGCAAATCGTTCCATCTTTCGCCACTTGACACTCCCACCTTAACAGAGCTAGAATCACCCATTTTTCTGACTTTTTTCAAACTAGAGGTGTGAAAACACTTTGCTGAGACAGAGGGGGTTTCATTGCCCTTTAACATAAGAAATTAAACACGTTTGAAATCCATGAGGGTGAGTAGTTGTAATTTTTGGGCGAAATATTCCTTCAAGTTTTACCAGGATGAAACAATATAGGCAAAGTGCTGCGAGTCATCTTATAGGCTTTTAGTGAGAATGATGATAAGTTATCAAAATCCCCTCCTAATAACTAGGCTTTCTGCCTAATTGAATGAGTTTTAAAGCAATTCTGAATCACTTCTTATACAATACACTGCATAGCCCAATTAAGAGATAATGCTGACTGTATGAGCTTACCTCATATCCCTAGCCTACCTGTGAAAGCGGCATACGTTTGGGAAGGCCAGAGGCACCAGTCCGCAGATTTCCTTCTCATAACTGCAGCGGAAATAGAGCGAGAGCCATGACTCAATGTTTTATCAGTCAAGATGGCTGACAGTATTCCCTCAGTGAGCTCTCACTGTTCAGAGCTGTACTTTCATTGTGTAAAAAGAGTTTTGAAGAGAGGAATGCAAATTAAGAAGGTCTGCAATGCGAAATTTCTCACATTAGGTTTGTTTTTTGGATTGACTGCAAAACAAAAAGACGGGGTTGAAATAAAAACTGTGTGGGCAGGAACGAGAGTCTGTCTCTCTGCTGCTTGCTGTGTGTGTATGGACGCATATAGAGAGCCATATGTCAAGTATGGCGGTTGGAAGAAGGTAGCTTTAGAGGAAGCGTCCTCTTGGCGCCAGGATGTTTGCGTCCTCTGGTCCCACAGGGGATCTTAAATCAGTGCTGTTCTACTCGCCTATACCGGCCGGTTTCAAACTCTCCATTTCTCGTGCAGGCGGCCATCCAAATTGGCATCGCTGCACAATGGCCTCCTCCCTGTATCACACATACACACTGTGCAATGCGAAGCAAAACCTGTATCGGCTTGATTTGGCAACTGAGGACATGCAAAGTGACTAAGACTAAGGGGCACAGCGTAACAGACGTTCTATTTTCTGCATCTTTATGATTATCCCTACAGGGTTTAACTTAAAAGCGAACCAACGTAAAGTCCAAAACAAAGCCATAGAAAAGGGCAATGGCTGGTCTGTGTAATCAGTGGCTCAAAATTCCAGCTATCTGCATAATGAAAACGCAGCAGGGCTTTGACTGTGACAATCACGCGTCGAAGTGTTTGTAAAGAGCTAATTAACAGCTCTCTTAAATCTGTGTACTTATGCAACTTAATTGTTTATCAAAGACAGTTTTTTTCTACCAAGCAAATCTTCTGCTCTGATCGTCAGTAATTTTTACGCTTACATGTAGCAGACACTTATATTTAAAAGTGACTCAGACCCTAGAACATACAATTCGGAGCAGTTCTGTTCCTTGCTCAAGGTAATCACTTGAGCTAAGGTATCGTCACAATTATCAGATTGAGTGCCCGAGAGACCCACTTGAGGGCACTCAATCTGTTTACCTCACTTTCCACCCAGACTACACCTCCCACAATCTCTTGCTTTCATTACACACACACCTGAATCTTATAATCCATGACATGCACAACATTACAGATACAAATAAACATCATGCACACCTACAATCATTGCTCAGTCTTGTTCTCACTGCTGTGGACTCTACTAGTGTTTATTTAATTCTATGTTTTGTCCTGTTCCATCTTTTGTGATCGTTTGCTGCCTGCCCAAGCTTTCCCTGTCCTGAGGATTACCCCTTATTTTACTGTCGTTACTGAACAAGTGGTCCCCAACCTTTTTGACACCACAGACCAGTCAATAATTGGCAAATTTACCAAAACCTGAAAACTACAAAGCACTGCAGTTTGTACTGTTTGTCTGAGATAATTAGTCTACCAAAATGTGTGTATTTTATACAAAGTATGAAGCGGATCACGGTGTGCTTACGGCATTCATTAAACTGGCTGCATTTGTAAGGCACGATACTTGCTTGAACAAGCCGCGCACCTCCATTGAAAATAACAAACTTGCACAAACTCTAGAATATACGCTATATGCAAACGGCCCCTAAAAGGTTGCTGTTATTTGCAATCTCTAGCAGTTGATCTTCCTCAACAGACATGGTGGATTCACCTAGTTTGGTGACAAATGGGATGCCAATCCATTTACGGGTCTTTTCCCCTTAGCAAAGAAACTTTTCAAAGACATCTGTTTCTTACTCATTTTGCTGCTTGTGGGTTAAACTTGGGTGCTCAAGTGACCAAGATGTAAGCGAGAGAATATGGTCATTTTTCAAAACCAGCAGACTTTTAAAATAAAAGATCGTTCAAACTAAAAATAATTAATTATCTCTTGTGTACCAGTTGAATCATAGATTGGTACCAGTCCGCAGCCCAGTGCTTGATGACAACAGTAAACTCTATACCATTCCACACAGAACCTCAACTTTGCTGTCGCCACCAATTCATAACAGGTGTTAAGGGTAGAAGAGAATGCTGGTTATTCACTCCCTTCACCTACAATCCCTGCTGGTGCCAGGACTTGAACTTGCAACCTTTGAAACACAAGTCTAACCATTAGACTACTGACTGTCACCTCAGAATTGGTTGGTGTGTGAGATCCAATGATGGTCATTGAGTTGCGGGTACACCGGCTGGGTGTTGACTTGACTTCATAATCAATCATTGACTTGCACAAGTGTTCTTAAGGGCCCTTTCATTTCAGGCTCATTCTTCTCACAGGATCTCATTAGCTCTCATTTGGCAGTCAGATATTAGAAAAATGATTCTGTGCAATACATTGCTAAGTATTTCAGTTACCAGGCCTTTCCCAGAGCAAATTTGAAAGCTCCGAGGTTTCCTTTGTAGAGTATACAGATGAGCAGAGCAATTAAAGGATAGTGAGCCAGATCTGGAGGATGGATTCCATCCGGACTGCTAATCATCACTCTCAAATTAATATAATTACAAGAAAAAGGTGGCACACATACTCAGTCTATCTTCTCTCTGACTGTCTACCTGTCTATCTATCATTATGTAAACCATTCTGTTTATAGTTCAAAAATTCTCTATCTTTCAATCTATCAATCTATCTATCTATCTATCTATCTATCTATCTATCTATCTATCTATCTATCTATCTATCTATCTATCTATCTATCTATCTATCTATCTATCTATCTATCTATCTATCTATCTATCTATCTATCTATCTATCTATCTGTTTACCTGTTTAATGTTAACATAAATATAATTTAATTAATGACATCTAAATAAATCTATCTAGTCTATCTGTTTGTTTATTGTTCAATCCAGTGACCACCTATCATCCTACCATTCTAACATTGTCTTTTTGTTGTTTTGTCTTTTTCTGTTTATCAAACATTGCCTTTCAGAGTTTCATTGAAAATCGTTAGATACCTCTGATTTACATCCGAATCACAAATGGGAACAACAATAAATAAGTCAAGTGTGTCTGTTCCTTCTAAAGCACAGCTGGTAAAAAAGTAGTAATTTCAAGGGTTTAGTGTAAAAGCATTTTTTTTTCATAGTTTTCCGTTGTAACTTTACTCTTTTTCATTTTAATTTCTAATTTTTATTAAAGAATTATTGTTTATTGTTATTTTAAATAATTTGTTTAGTGTACAAATAGAAAAAAATACTATGAAAACTGATGGCATTGGAGACGGGAGATTCTGATTCTAGGGAGCACCTGATTTGACAAATCTGTGCAGCATTTATCAACATTTATAATGATATCTAAATAAGGATCAAAAGCCACAAAGCTCTTTTCATGGGGTCAATTAAATCATGCGTTGCCTAACACGAGTGCTTTTTTTGATCTTTGTTTCTCTTTTAGGCTTTTGATGCATTTATCTACATTTTCTTTGCACTTGAGATGGTGGTGAAGATGGTGGCTCTGGGGATCTTTGGCCGTCGCTGCTATCTTGGCGATACTTGGAACAGGCTGGACTTTTTCATCGTGATGGCAGGGTAAGTGCACTTGTGTTTTCTTTTAGCCTTTCCTGACACAGAACTCTAGGTGAATCAGAGCTATGGTGACCCTGAGTGGGTTTGTTTTTTCACATTAGAGTTGTCTGCACTTTGTGACCTGTATTAATGGATATTTCATTTCTGTTGTTTTGTGAAAATAGCTAGTGTAGGATATGACTAAATGTTTACATTGTCAAGTTCATCTCTAAAGGACTCGCACTTCATGTTTAGCTCCAGGATGGCCTTGATGGATTTTCACATGCTCAGTTGTATGTTCAGGCCAAACCCTTCGGCTACAGTTCTTCAGATCTCACTTATGTCGAGTGCAAGCATCCCACACATTGTTTTGATTCCATTTTCAAAACCTTCCAGTCCTTGGTGCGAAAAAGAGATGTGAAAACTGCTGTAAGAGTTGTAATTTAGTGAACTTTTCTGGACTTTTCTCTGAGGAAGACATAAAGGAGAAGCATTGGATCAACAGGGACAGACCTGCAGGAGGCAGATAAACTTGAGCTGCAATTTGTTATACACGTATCGTCTCTCTCTCTCTCTGACAGACACCAACTCACGGGAAACAAACACTCATGAGTTAAGAGGCTGAGCAAATTGGAACACAGCCGTAATGCGATACAAGTTGTTAATTATTTATTATATACTACCTTAATTGGCCATGAGTGCACATCCCAAAACAGTCCTTTTCTTCATAGAGCGCATTAAGGTGTCTTCTCTACTTTTACATGTCAGTTTGGTTGTTTTCAAGTACTAGTGAGTATCAGTAAGTTCCCCCCTAATTTGCTGTGTAACTAATTGGACTCATTAGAATATGAAAGACATTATTTGTCCTTGTTTAACAACATACATTAGTTTCATGTCGGTCCTCCTGGTTTACAACAGCTCCATCTTGTTTTTTCATGATTTGTGGCAGGTTCTTTTTTTCCCCCTAGTTCATTTGGTGATACTGCCAGTTAAACCAGGTTATAAAGTAGTTTCCTGTCTTTCCAGCCTCTTCAGACTACTGTATGGTTCTGATGATTGTAAAGGAATATTGAGGGCATGTTCATTAATTTGGTTAGAAGCAGACATTTTTTGTATGCTGGGTTCCATGCAATTCCTTCATGTTGTGCCAACACAAATCAATTAAGTTAACTTAATCGTTTTTACAAATTTAGGTGGGTTGAACATAAAACACAAAGGGATTGTTGTTTCAACTCATTTTAAATAGATAGTTTGAACAAGCAGTAAAGTTAGTTTTTTTTTTTTAAATGTGTAATTTTATTTACAGATTTAGTTACTTTCTCAATGTTGCTGTGCCTTTTTTAAAAAGGAGCTAGTGATATAGGGGTTTATGAAAAAAGTGGATATAATCTAGTTACAAAATAACAATAATCTATTTATACCTAAAAACAGTTTATGATTTGGTTTTTAATATTTCATTACATTCAAAAATCTAGCTAGGGTGTGACAGACATTAAAACTTCTTGCTTCCTGAGCACTGGTTGTGCCAAAGGGATGCAACTGCTACAGACAGGGTCTCAATGACTGTGCCTTTGTTTTTGGGTGATACTTTCAGGCCAAAGAAACCCTTTTGTTGATAAACTTGTGTGGTCATTGGCTTGGCAAGTTTCTTCACCTACCTACAGCACATACTTAATTTGCATACTTTGTTTAACCATCTCCACCTAGCTACTCATCTCCTTCTATAAAAATATTATAAACAGGACATCTTTGTCTTAATTAGACTTGATTTCAGATGCTCTTGCAGAATTGTGGACATCTGGAAGACGCTGTATGACTGCAGACTAGCCAACATGTCTCAATAAAGAAGTTCTGCTTGTTTGTGTCTCCTGGACTGGGTTTTCATTCACTTATTTTTCATTTATTTAACAAATTTTAAGTATATTTGGTGATTTTAATGTTAAGTGATAAACAAGCAAAGACACAAAAATAATGCAGATTTTTAGTACTATTTTTAGTACTTTGAAATAATTTAAATTCTCACAATATCATTTTACTAGTAAATATAGCTGAAAACACAGCACAGTCATTGTTTTTGTCTTGTGCACTTGGTGAGTTTGTCAGGTAACTTATAAACCTGGATTTTAGTAGTTCAGAGAAGCAGACTGGAAGTGGTTGCATATAGTTTTATTGTGTTGTGTTGTTTGACAACACAAGGATAACGATATGCAAATAAGAACAGTCTGAAATTGGCTGCAATAAAATCGGAATAGGCTGCATGCAAAATAAACTAATGTAATGGGCTGCTACAAAGTGATGATGCAGTGAATATGCTAATTAGCACATGACTTCATCTTGAGACATTTAGTGACTCTTCAAACTGACTTTTCCATTTTTATGATATCATTACACAAGTAAACATAACTGAAATCTTAAAATCTGCTACAAAGTGATAATGCAATGAATATTAGGGGTGTGAACCTACACTGGTCTCATGGTTCGGTTCAGTTTCGATTATCATGCCATCGATTCAGTTTAATTCCATATCTCAGTGCATCACGGTGCATTGACGATGCTTTCCACACAGAATTAGATTTTTTTCTTTACAAAACAATAAATGTTTTTATTAAAATCTATAAATATCGTAATATTTATATATTATTTGTAATACAATATTGTCCTTTAATACAAACAGTAAGGTAAATGAGCTGTACCTTTAATTTTACCAGCTCAAAGAAAACACTCTTTTTGAGTGTATCAGACAAAACTCCAGTACATGCACAAAAGACAACACGAGCATTTATAGCAAATAAACCAATGTAAATATTTTCCTGCTTCCTTTTTGACCTATGATTAGTTAATGGCTTCACCTGCTCAACAGAAAGGGCTGCGCTTGGCTTTAGAAATGAAAGCGATGTTCACCGATGAGTTACTTGGGAAGAACAGCCGCAATTAGTCCATATACAATCCGTAATAGACACTGTGAAGAAAACTCGCAACTTAGGCATACTCGTGTCTGGATCCACAAGTATCACTTTAACAGTCAAGAGGAGAGGAAAAGTTACCTCACAAACACATCAGCACAGTGGGTCAAATGTCCAAAGTGTGTGTTTGAGAGAGAGAGGCAGAGATTAATTTTTCCCACATCTCTCCCTAGTAGTAAAATAGCGGCTCGTGTGCTGAGCCTTCTTCAGTGTCAACAAAAGACTTTCCAGCAAACTCACAAGCAGTTGTATTGTGCATAATTATCTACATTTTAAGTAGTTGGAGTGTCACCCTCGCCTCCTTCACCATAGTATTCTGCTGTGACATCGCAAATTGGAGATAAATGACGTCAATACGTAATAACCGGTTATGATCTAATACTGAACCGATATTGAATTGTCCCCATCTGCATTGCGATGCACAGAAGAAACAACTAATTTTGACACCCCTAGTGAGTATGCTATATAGCGTGTGATGTCATCTTGAGACATTTAGTGACTTTTCAAGCTGGCTTTTCCATTTTTGATTCACAAGTAAATTTAGCTGAAATCACAGCACAGCTATTGTCATTGTCTTGTGCGCTTGATGATTTTGTCAAGTAACATACAAACCTGGATTTTAGCCTTTTAACAGAATTAGAATGGCAGTGGCTGCATCTTATTGGGCTGCGTTGTTCGACAACGGAAGGATAAAAAGGAATGAAAGAATGAATGTGAAATTGGCTGCAATGAAATTGAAAGAGGCTGCATGCAAAACAAACTAAGGCCGTACTCACAATAGATACAGTTGCCTCGAACCGGGCCAAAGCACGCTGGTCCCCCCTCCCGTCTCCCCTGACGGCCCGCGCTCACACCACAAACCGGCTTCGGCACGCTTAAGTCATCGCTGCTGCGATGTTCAGTGAGAAGCGCTCTCCCTCAGCAGCACAGTGGAGATTTCTCTAGTTATATCCTTTCAGTCGTTTGATATGCAGTGACATGCAGTCAAATATTTCGCCAAACAGTCCTTAAGGATGCAGGGACACGCAGTCAGATATTTCGCCGAACAAATCCGCCACTTTTGGCGCTCATAAACAATAATAAAGCTCTCGTGCTGCAGGAATGAGGAGGTCTGCTGAAGGCGCGCAGCTGTCGTGCAGTGAGGGGTTTGCGTCTTTAATAAACTACGGCAGTTTGCGTTTACTGAACAGTAAGAATTATTAATAAATCCATATGAAACAGCACCTTAAAAGTCACGTCTCGCTTTCAGTTTCGGGCTTTGGCGCGTTTTGCACTCACACACAAGCGTACCGCGCCAAAGCCCAAGTGAACCGGGCTCAGGCACACCTCTTCCATCCGGGCCAGGGCCGGCCAAGTGAACCGTGCTTGAGCCCGATTCAGTGCACTCACACTTCTCAAACGATCCGGGAAATGGGCCTGGGCACGGTACGGATGGCATAGTGTGAGTAGGCCCTAATGTAATGGGCTGGTACGAAGTCATGATGCAACAAATATGCTAATTAGAGCATCACACCATCTTGAGACATTTAGTGACTTTTCAAGCTGGCTTTTCCATTTAAAATTACAAGTAAATATATCTGAAATCACAGCACATCCATTGTCTTTGTCTTGTGCACTTGGTGAGTTTGTCAGGTAGCTTATAAACTTGGATTTCAGCAGTTCAGAGAAGCAGAATGAAAGTGGCTGCATACAGTCTTATTGCCTATAGCGCAGTTTGACAACAGAAGGATAAAGATATGTAGATGAGAAGAGTCTGTGCAGTTGGCAGCAATAAAATCAGAATAGGTATTGTGAATGCATTTGACAACGATAGTTATAAAAACTGCTAACTGACTAGCAAAATTAGCCAAGCATCAGATTGGAAATGCTTTGAAGACGAGCTCAAAATACTTCACCAGCTTTTGATGTTTCAGGGCATGTAGTTTCTCCTTCCTGCTGTTTACCTTCTGAACTCTAGACAAACAGTTAATTTCCAAATTGCATCAAAGTAGATTACTTTAGCTGACATTTACTTGGCTAAATAAGTACATCCATTGCTTGCGTGGAAGTTTTCATAGAAAG